TCTGTGTGCCTACTGCATGTGGGTGTTTTCTCACCCCCATCAAAGCCTCTCTTCAGCTACTGATTCCATCTGCTCCTGTCTTCTGTGTTTGAGATTGCTTCTCTGCTACCTGTTGGGCTCAAGATCCTTCCTGCCCTTTAGTTCTTTAACTGTTAGAGAAAATGAACCCAATCAAGACCCCTAGACAGTAACAAAGTATTAAGCAGATAGTGACTGCTTAATAAGAACTCCTTTCATAACAGAGCAGCCAATAGAACTTTCTTCAGCTAGGAAAGTAAGTGTTATGCATCCAATTCAGTAGCCACTAGCCACATGTTGCTCACTCTTTAGCACATAGCTACTGCAAGTGAGGGGCTAAATTCTTTATTTTACACGGTTTTAATGAAGCTAAAAGTAAGTAGTGGCATGTAGCTGGTAGTTAGCTTAATGGGCAGTACGGTTCTTTCTACTGATAGAGTTGTTAAATACAACTCACACAATGAGACTCCCTGGTAGTCAAAGTCTGCCTCTCACATTTATTAGCAAATAACCACAGGCACGTCAATGACACTTTTGTAGATAACACACTTTTGTAACTCCTGGTCTTCCTTTATAATAATGTTGCCTGTTTCATCAAGCTGACATCGGGATCAAGTAAGGTATAAAGTTCTTACAATAGTGTACAGCAAACAGCAAGCACTGAATAAATGCTAATCATTATCTTGCTTTGCATTTCTCCAGAAGCAAATCCTGAGATAAGAATTTGGAGGGAAGTCATTTGCCTTGTACCAGTGAGGATATGAGTGAGAAAGAAGGAAGACAGGCATTACAGAGCACTAAGGAGGGGATTCCTGCTTTAGGCAATTGGTGCTTAATCCTCCAGGACATCCCTTGGGCCACAGTAAAAAGAACGTCTCAGATTTGCCCTACCCATCCTACACGGCCAACCTCTGTGGCCACAGAAATCCCCAAGCAGGTAGTTTAGGTGCTTTTAGGGTAAGCTATGTTGCAGGTGGCAATGATAAACACTGGCAAAGCACCAAGCCACCAAAGCTTCCACAGCTCATAATACACACATCTGCCACTGCTGACCCATCCTACAAATAGGCAGGATTAAGTTCCCATCCAGAATATGCTGTGAAAGATGAGTCACTTGGCTTGTGATAGCCTGCTGTGGCTTCTCCAAGATGTCAAGGTCTTTTAATGGCCTCTTAGTTCTAGATCCAGTTCCCTCCAGTACCTCTTGCAACAGCAAGCAAATACATAGGAACATCAAAGCCTTCTATTCTCTCACAACAGTAAGTCAAATCTACACAAAGGCCTTTGGTTCTCAGGGAAATAGAAAGGACACACTGTTCAAATACTTAATCAGGGTGGGTATCTGTGGTACTTTAAATAAGAATGGCCCTCACATCTTCATATATTGGAATACTTGGTCCCCAGTGAGTGAGACTGTTTGGGAAGAATTAGGAGGTGTGGCCTTGTTGGAAAAGGTGTGTCACTTGGGGTGGGCTTTAAGGTTGTAAGACTCATGCCATTCTCTGTCAAATGCTCTCTCTGTCAAATGCTTGTGAATCAAGATGCAAGCTCTCAGCTACTGTTCTTGCACCATACTTCCTGCCTGCTGCCATGTTCCCTACTATACTGATCATGGACACTAACCCTCTGAAACTGTAGCCCCAAATAAACTCTTCTGTAAGTTGCTTTGGACATGGTATCTTATCACAGCAATAGAAAAGCAAATAAGACAACATCCCAATCAATCTATTATTTCTTATTTAGTAGACCCTATTCTCTCAAATCTCCATTTTAGAAGTTTCCTTTGGCCATGAAAGATAATTATAATGGGTTTATTTAATGTATATGGAGTATCTTCTTTGGGTTAAACTAGGTTTTCACAAGTACTACTAAAAGAGTTAATGATCACAGCATATATATACCTATGGCTATTCACAATACATTTAACATTGTATTAATCTGGGTGCTTTAGCTGAATATAACAGAATCTTCTAAGCTAATTTAAATAGGACAGAATTGTATATAAGTTATTGGGTTGTGCTTTTTTTATAAGTTTATTCTAGTTGTGCTTTTTTGGCAGAACAGCTGAGGATGGGAAATTTAAAAAAAAGAAGAGTGGTCACATTTCTTTTTTTTCTTTTTTTTTTTTTTTTTTTTTTTTTTTGGTTTTTCGAGACAGGGTTTCTTTGTGTAGCTTTGCGCCTTTCCTGGAACTCACTTGGTAGCCCAGGCTGGCCTCAAACTCACAGAGATCCGCCTGCCTCTGCCTCCCGAGTGCTGGGATTAAAGGCGTGCGCCACCACCGCCCGGCGAGTGGTCACATTTCTGAGCCTTGGAAATATAAGATAAATGTTGGAAAGGCCCATCCTACTGAGTCATCAATGACAGAAGACAGAAAGGCAAGCTAACTGACCACTTCGTGAAGCCTCTTTTATAAGAAATCTAGTCCTGCTAATAAAGAAAGAGCCCTCCTTGGGCCAGCAAGATGGCTCAGCACCTGCCTTCAAGCCTGACAACCTAACTTCAATTTCCAAGACGCACATGGTGGAAAGAAAAACCTAATTCTTGTAGGTTGTCCTCTGACCTCTGTATGCACACCATGGCACACACACACACACACACACACACACACACACACACACACACACCATAAATCTGATTTTTAAAAAAGCCCTCATGATCTATTTATCTCTCAGTGACTCTACCTTTTACACCATTTCAATGACAAGACCTGAATCTTGTATGGGACACATTCAAATTATGGCCATTTCCTTATAAGAACCAGGTCTGGATGTTATATAGGCAGGAATAATGCATTCCGGAAAAACCAACCTCATTATGAAAATGCTCTAGTAGGAAACTAGCCCTCATGGAGATCTCATCAATTTCCCCTTCCCAGGGTGATCCATCTTTGGACATATGGGTTGTAGTCTGGTTATCCTTTGCCTTTCATCTAGTATCCACTTATGAGTGAGTACATACCATGTTTGTCCTTTTGAGTCTGGATTATTTCACTCAGGATGATATTTTCTAGTTCCATCCATTTGCCTGCAAATTTCATGATGTCATTGATTTTTACTGCTGATTAGTATTCCATTGTGTATATTTGTCGCATTTTATTTATCCATTCTTCAGTTGAAGGGCATCTAGGTTGTTTCCAGGTTCTGGCTATTATGAATAATGTTGCTATGAACATAGTTCAGCATGTGTCCTTGTGGTATGATTGAGCGTTTCTTGGGTATATGCCCAAGAGTTGTATCTGGGGTAGATTGACTCCCAATTTTCTGAGAAACTACCATACTGATTTCTAAACTGGCTGTACAAGTTTGTACTCCCACCAACAGTGGAGGAGTGTTCCCCTTGCTCCACAGTCTCTCCAACATAAACTGTCATCAGTGTTTTTGGTCATAGCCATTCTGACAGGTGTAAGATGGTATTTCAGTGTTGTTTGGATTTGCATTTCCCTGATGACTAAGGATGTTGATAATTCCACAAATGTCTTTTGGCCATTTGAGATTCTTCTGTTGAGAATTCTCTGTTTAACTCTATAATCCATTTTTTAATTGGATCATTCTATATTTTGATGTTTAGTTTCTTGAGTTCTTCATATATTTTGGAGATCAGTCCTCTGTTAGATGTGGGGTTGGTGAAGATCTTTTCCCATTCTGTAGGCTGTCATTTTGTCTTATTGACTGTGTCCTTCCTTTATTTTTTTTTATATATTTTTATTGACTCTTTGGGAACTTCACATCATGTATCCCAATCCCACTCATTTCCCAGTTCTTTCACATCCACCATTCACTCTTGTACCCTCCCACACAAAATAAAATAAATTAAACAAAGCCAACAAAAACAAGCCATCTTGCCACCCTCTGGGTTGACCTGTTCCTCCAGTTCCATTGAACACATACCATTCCACTCCTCCATCTTTCCTGCCTCTCCTCATATATTCATTAGTTATAGTGGCATTGGAAGCTATGGTGTGTCTCACAGTATACCCGTCTCCCCAAACAGCTTTACTTGCAAAAGTTAATTGCAATGAGTCACTGGTCTGGTTCAAGGCCTCTGGCTTCTGCTATACCATCAATACTGGATCCTCCCTCTCATATATCCTACTGTTGTCCTGAGTCATGGAGATCCTGAGGCCATGTTTCTGCAGGGCCAGCCCTTTCACATACTCCAGTAGATAATTGATGGGGTAGATATTGGGGTGGGCCAACTCCCACACTACCAGGTCTAGCTCTCCCACGTGGAGGGGCAGAGCCAGCTCTCCCAAGGAAACTCTTATTAAAGAAAGCATTTAATTGGGGGCTGGATTACAGTTTCAGAGATTTAGTCCAATTATCATCATGGTGGGGAGGATGGCAACATGCATTCAGGTGTTGGAGCAGTAGCTGAGAGCTACATCCTGTTCTTTAGGCAGAGAGAGAGAGAGAGAGAGAGAGAGAGAGAGAGAGAGAGAGAGAGAGAGGAGAGAGAGAGAGACTGGGCCTGGCATGAGCTTTTTAAAACTCAGAGCCCACCCCCAGTGGACATGCTTCCTCCAACAAGGTCACACCTCCTAATCTTTCTAATCCTTCTCAAATAGTGCCACTCTGGATGACCAAGCATTCAAATATACATTCTTGTTCAAACTACCATAGCTACAAAAACCTTCTACATATCCAACTGTAATAGTCTCCTTAACTAGTACCTTGGCTTTTATTACTTCGTTTTCTACATAACTCTCAGAGGGATCATTTAAAAGTACATATTATACACATTATATTGAGTCACTTCCATTTTGACAATTTTCTACACAGTTAAGATTAAAATATACCTTCCCATAGCTTTTTAAGATCTACATGCTCTAGGTTTTGTCATCTGTGCAGTCATCCTGTTCCAGTCTTCCCTTATCCATAAACCCACTCTGGCCTTGGGGTACTTCAACTCATCCACCAAGTCCTTTCTGTCCCCAGAGCCACATATGGCACCACCAGAACATCTTTAGGGTCTGTCCTTACCACTGGTCAATGGAGCTCAGTTGTCAGCTTAGAAATCATTGTCAGCAACCTAAAACAAACAAACAACAACAACAAAAACAAACTTTACTGAATCTCTAAAGAATTTCCTTCAATAGATTTATGACATCAGCATATTTCCTTCCCAGGATTTACTGGTCTTCAGTGTTACATCTGACAGGTAGTTTGTTCCTCTTGTAGAATACAAACTCCCTTCTTGAGTAGAATACAAACTCCCTTCTTGAGGAGAATGCAAACTCCCTTCTTGAGTTTCCTTCTTATCACCCAGAACAGTGCCCAGAACAAAGGTCAGCTGATCACATTTGAAGACGAATGGAAGCACATAAAGGAGTTTCATCTGAGTGCAACAGGCTGGACCCAAGACACTACACACCAAAGCTGGAACCTAGACTTTACAGCATGAAGCTTTTGAGTGGAGTCTTGTTTGTAAGGTAATGACAGACTCTAGCTTGTATACGGTCTACACTGGCATCAGGAGAGTCACTCAGTGACATTTCTAAAGGCTTCCATTCAGCAAAAACAAGGGCCATTCTTACTCTTCTATGAGATCCAACTTTGTAGAAATATAAGTTTAAAATAAAGAAGTTTCACACCACAGTATGAATAAAAGCAACACAAGATGTCATTGCAGGTTGTTTACTCAAACATTTTCACATCCTTGCCGCAGCCCCCTTGAACTCACCGTGCCTACCCCCAGCTTAGCCTGTGACTCACAAGTATCATGTGGCAAAGTCCAGCAGAGGGCACAGCCTTGACCTTCCCTTCCTTTTAAAGACCTCAGATGTTCTCATGTGTCCTTCCATAATTGAGATCTGCAATTAGTCACCTCATCTCTGATCCCCACTTTTCTGTTCCAGCTAAACTCAACCTTCAGCCCACACAATGGAATTGGACAAAAATGAGGTAACGGTTTTCTGTGTGAGTCACTCTGCCTGATTCTGTTCAGAGAGCACTGTAGAGTGAGCAGCCAGAGTCCAGGCGAATGTTTCAGCCATCCAAGAACTGGCAGGCAGCCCAGAAGACACTCACCTGATGATGGACTCGCCGGATGAAACTTAGAGGAAATGGTTCCCAACAGCTGCAGAAAGAACCTCTTGGCTCCCGCACAGCAACACTCTTCTCAATTAAAATCGCTGTCATCGTTCATGCTGCACCGTGAAACCCTTTCACACCGTGTTCACATTTCTGCAGACCTCCTACTCGGGGTATTAAAGACGGGTCCTTTATGTGCAAGGGCAACATCTCTAAGCCACCATCCCACCCAAACGGCCCCTTTATCTTGCACAGAAATGGTTTGCAGACTCTGAAAAGGGAAACACAAGGAGAGATGTCCATAAAGCTGTTTCTCTTTGTTGAGTAGTCAGAAGAAAGTGGTAAGTGGTTGGCTGTGTCTTCAAAAAACTTTTTTTGGTTATTCCCAAGAGATCCTCCAATTCTTCCCAAAGAGTGTCTCTCAGATGCTGTCAGCTGAACAGATTGGCAGCCAAGCAGAGGTGTTCAGAGAGGTCTCCAACTAATGCAGCCAGAGGAAAGCTGCCAGAGAAGCAGGACTCCTTAGATAAGTAAATTGAAGGATATTTGGGGGATAAAAATAAATCCTTTTTGAAAATGAAAGATGGAGAGTCGCTGTATATACAAATTTCCCTGTTCTGAATGGTGATGATGCCAGGCCAACTCTGCAGACCAATGACATAAGCAGAGATATTCTCAGACATGCTGGATGGCCTTTCCTCCTAAAGCATCTGCCCCACCCCATGACCACAGAACTTCCCTGTATGGTGTTTGTAATTACTTTATTTTGTTCATAATCCTGGTGGACCTCCACTGGAACCTTTGGGTTAAGGGGAATTCTGCAGAAGGATCGGAGAGACCAAAAGAAATACAGAGGCTGGCAAAATAAAGCTAGGAAGTCTAGCCTACTGTCTGTGAGGATACTGTTTCAGATGTTTAGTTTCCAAAATAGTCAGCCCTATAAGAAACACAGGGATCAAGAATCTACTCAAGACTGAAGTATTTCAAGTCACAGATTCCAGAACTCACTACAGCAACTAAACAAAATATTGGGGGAATTAGAAACTGAAAATTTCCCCTCCTAATATAGAGGGGTTAAATGTAGAATTTTGGAGTTCTGACTTGATGGTAGAGTTGAGAGAAAGGCATAGTCAGTGAAGACAAACATGGACACTTTGGACTAAGTGTTCAGTCACAGGAGAAGAAGAAAAGACACTAATGGGAGAGCCTGTGCTACCGGTTCCTTTGTAATTATTGGCCATCAGTGGTCTGTAAGGAGAAGCTCTAAGAACCCAGGGGTAGCCGAGCAACTGGTGAGTAGCCTAATGACCATGGCAGTTTCAAGACCTAGAGGTGATAGGAAAGATTGTTTAAAAATGTGCTATTGGGGCTGGAGAGATGGCTCAATGGTTAAGAGCACTGGCTGCTCTTCCAGAGGTCCTGAGTTCAATTCCCAGCAACCAAATGGTGGCTCATAACCATCCGTAATGAGATTTGGTGCCCTCTTCTGGCCCGCAGGCATATATGCAGGCAGAACACTGTATACATAATAAACAAATAAATAAATCTAAGTGCTAAGTATATGCCCTATATAACTCTATATACACCTAAGGTAAGCACTACACATGCACGACAGTGCATGTGTCTCAGTCAGGGTTTCTGTGAAGAGACACCATGACCATGGCAACTCTTATAAGATAAACATATCATTGAGGTGGCTCACTTACACTTCAGAGATCCAGTTCATTATCATCATGGCAGGGAGCATGCCAGCATGCAGGCAGACATGGTGCTGGCTACATCTTGATCAGAAGGCAACAGGAAGTGGACTGTGACACTGGAAGTAGCTTGAGCATAGGAGAACTCACCCCCACAGTGACATACTGCCTCCAACAAGGCCACACCTACTCCTACAAAGCCACACCTCCTAATAGTACCTCTCTTTTTGGTGGCCATTTTCTTTCAAACCACCACAGCATGTATAAACATACTTGCTATGTAGTTTACTAAGTATCTTAGCAGGTACTGAACATTTTTTCTTTTTTACATAGTTATTTTTTGAAAAATAAAATTTTAAGAGAATATTTTCAAATAGTGTTAATAAATAATACCTGACTGAGGATAATTTTTATTTGTTGTATTCATTCTTACTGATAAGAGGTAAATCTCACAAATGGATACTCAATCACCTGAAATACTGAGAAAATGAATTTATCAAGGTTAGTAACTAAGCTTAATATCTTGATTGGTTATAATACAAGATTCCCTGGCTTGAAATAAAAGATCAAACAGTTACTTTCCATTCCCAAAGGTCAGTCGGTAACTATGTTTCCCCTGTAGGATCTTCTCTTACTTCCTATCATCACTAGTCCCCACTCTTCTCCACAAACTAAATATAAAACGTACCTGCAAAGCATAGAATCTGAGCAACAGAATATTCTTGAATGTATGCCAAAACTAAATAGCTTCAAATTATAAAAAAGCACACAGATCCAAATGGCCTGCTCTAAGTAGGAAGATGGTTTAAATTCCAGGGTAGCACCAATAATGTAGTGTGTGCTGTATCCTTGATAACTAGAGAATACAACTGAGAGGTGAAATAGTATTGGTACCTTTCACTCCCAATGACTTCCTTAAGGAATTTGTGTTTCTTGTTCCCATAACGTTAGGTTCTGTTGAGGGATGTTAGGAAATCCTGGTAGACAGAAAGCAGCTATTGGTGTTTATAGTTCTGGGAATCAAGTTCAGAGCCCCACACATGCTAGGAGAACATCCTACCAGTAAGTTATATCCACAGCCCCAAAAGTAGAGATGTGGACTGTATGAAAGACAACATGGTCCATGACAAAACTACCAAAGGATAGTGACTTATTAGCTTCAAACAGGAAAGTGACATGGCATAAGGCCCTATGAGCATATGGATCAACTATTTGGATATAGCTTTGAACAATGCATCAGCAGATATTTGTAAGGAGCCAGAGAACTTCACAGTTCCTTAAAAAAAGGGTGATTGGCCATCAGACAACTTGGTTGGTATCAGAAAGGACTTTATCCTGGCATATCCAGGGAGAGAGTAAGCAAACTGAGCTTTAGAGCTCAAGTCAACATCTAGGCATTTAAGGACATTTGGAGTGCCCCAATTTTTGTCTTTGGGGTGAATATATTCCGGAATTCTAGTAGATTTTTTGTACTTTATGGCTTCTCTATTCCAATATTTGATAAATCACCATTACTGTTGTGACATCAAATGTAACACATAGAGAGCACATAGTTGTTGTTTCTACTTATAGATAACTTCTGTGTTACTCTATATAGTCATAGGGTAAATAGAAAATGGTCTCTGGTAACAGAAAAGTCAATAAGCCTAGTTACTCAGAATGAGGCTAATGCAGTTGTTTAAGAGACAATGAAAATTGGAGTGCTAAGAGTCAACACTCACCAATGAAATATTCATAGAGACAGCTGTTCTCAGGACAAAGATCTGTGGAAAGTTAAAAGATCATGTTGGTGTGTTCCATTCAGAGAAACTTCTACCATGAAGAATTACAGAAACTATACCTGCAACAAAGTTCAGTTTATGGAACAGAAATATTCAAAATGGCATAGCTAAAAAACAAACCATGGATGTCTGTGCTAAACAAGTTGGTGGTGAAAAAACTCCATGGATTCTGATCTGTAGATGGATTTAAAAAAAAAAAAAGACGTACTGTGTTTTAGAGTTTTTACATACAGTCTTTTACACCCATTTGTGGCTTCAGATATTGCAGTCTGTGCTCAGACTAAAATGCAGAGCAATTTTTCCTTCAAAACCACAATATTTGGTAATGACTAGGTACCATGTGAGTGATAAGATAAATTATAAAATAATTCTCAGAGCACAATGTTCAACTTGTCTTTATATTAATTAGGTGTGATTTGGAGAAGGGAACAATGTTTTCATGAGTAAATAAACTCATTTTGTGATAAAGGGATGAATAGTCAAGTTACAACAGTGATAAATCGTTTGCATT